CCCCAAAACCCCAAAACCCCAAAACCCCTTACGCTTATAAATAAATTAAACAAGTAATAATAATATTATTACAAAATGGCTACCCATATCTTCATTGATTTCTCTTCTAGACTGCCGTTTCAAGAAGTAAGAAATAAACCCTGCTTAGTAAGTTGTGGGCAAGCGGGGTTGTGGGGTAGGAGAGTTGGGAATTTTAGAGGGAGTAGGGGAGCGTTAAGGGTTTGGGTAAGTGGAGAGGGGGTTGGGGGTTGAGAGTTGAGTGAGCCTGGTATAGGGAGAAGGAGAAAAGGGAGAGAGAGAAGGAGAAATTAATAGACTAGTTGATATTTGTAAGGATCTTGGAGAACAAGGAGTGAATGTGAGGTAAGAATTGAGGTTGAAAGAAGTCATTGGCATCTAAATTATTAAGATCTGTATCTTTGTCTTTTTGTTCACATTATAAGATATACACATTTTGAATTGATCAGCTTGCTTTGAGATTCATAACATTGCAAATTTAAATTTATTCCATTTTTAGTTGACTATTCATATTGATTTAATCCCGAAATAATGTCTTATTAACTGGCAATATTTTTAACTTAAATGCCTTCATTAAATATTTCTTATTTTCCTTATAGCCTTTATTTTCCAGTATTTTGCAAAGAAATCGAGAAGTTCCAGAAATTATCGACCCAGAAAAGCAAGCCTAAAGGAAATACAAAGACCAATCAAGGTAATCCTATAGCTAAATTTTAGTAGAATTCAAAGTTAACATTGTAGTCGGTATCCAATGATTATTCTTTGAACTAGGATCTCATTCTTTTGCTGGGCATGAAATCGTAGTCTACTCAAACAATCCGAACTTCTTCAATAAGCAATTCGTCGACATGTTCCAGCGGAAATATGGAAGCAATCAGAATATTTCCATTAAACACAAAAGGATGGAAAAGCTATTGGAAAACTTCGAACCAATGAAATCTCTCGCAGAATCAACTGATACAGAAGAATCAAAGACTAACCCAAGCTTAGTAAAACATAATAAAGAGAGAATTCCTCTAAGCATTTCAAAAGAACCAAATCAAAATATTGACACAGAAACCTCAGATTCTGAAACAGTGGCTGGCCAATCAGCTACGACAGGATCAAGTGCATGTTCTGAAATAGATAAAGAAATGGAAGAACTTGAGAGGAAATTCAACCAAAACAAGAACTATAAGAATTCACTTGCTGATCTATTAGAGAAAATCCCTAAATACTTTAATAAAACAGATGAAAATAATGTTATCAAATTCATGAATGGACTTGAGAACCTAGTATCCCAGCATCTCAATAAATTTAAAAAATCATCAAAAATCGATTTAAATCCTTCCGAAAGAAATAATTATTTCCTTTTTGTTAGAAATTTCCTTTATAAAAATAAAATCATCGAATGTGAGATTCTGAATTTATGGGTAAACACACATCATGGAGACACAGAAGAGAAGATAAAAGATTCCTACACAGTGAAAATAAACTCTAAAGAAATTGATAAAGCCTTGGCTGAACTCAAAAACACTAAATCAAAGTCTTCGTTCAAGGGATATGAGCTGATAGATAAAATTAGCATCTATGGATCAATATGCTACACAACTATTAAGAATTTGATAAGAAATAATCTTATGAGCTCTGATAAACCAATTAGTTCAGTTAAAAGTCTGACTCAAAACATCCATCATGCTTTGAAATGCATTTATAACTCCAAGACAGTGACTAAAGAGCTGAAGTACGTTATAAAGAAGGATAAGAGGGTTAAATACCTGATTTGTGAAATATTAAGAAATCATGGAGTCTGGGAGGAAAAAACAGATGATTCTATAGAAATCAACAAGGCAAGATGAGAATCTTTCTCTAATGAATTTGAGACTACTCCTTCTAGAAAGATGATAAATAAACTGATTTGTGAAATCCAGAGTATTCTTTGCAACAGTTAGATCATTTAGAAGGAATATCAAAAGTTTTGAATAATATTTGTACTCAATAATCGTGGTTTATATTGGGGTTTTGGGGTTTTGGGGTTTTGGGGTTTTGGGGTTTTGGGG